CAGGCAGCGGTGGCAGCAGCCCCATGCACCACCCTGCCCCGGAGGAGCAGCCCCCCTACAAAGATGTAAATATCCCTTCTGGGCTGTGTGTGGATTCATTAATATTATTAAAGCTCGTCCTACACGTGTGCACGTGTAGCAAGGAAGATGGGGTGACCCGGCCGCCATTTTAGGCCTGAGGGAGGCAACCAGGCCTGGCTGCCATTTTGGGCCTGGTGCCTCCCAGGATGTTAGGCTCAATGGCACCTCCCCGCCAAAAATAATATGTCTGACCCAAATCGCCCTGCTGCGGACCTGCTTCTGGTCCCCGTGTCCCTGCCGCTTTGCAGACTGAGGGTGCCAAGCCACCGTGCTCACTGGGGTTAAACACCAGCCTAATGTCCTCCGTGGCGGGCGGCTGAGGCACATGGCTGGCACTGGGCAGCATGGAAGGGTCTTTTCAGGCTTTTCTTGGTGGCCCAACTTCAAACCAAATAGCCCAGGTCACTTGCCCATGTACACGTGGAGCCGCCCATGCGTTGTCCTGCCCGGCACATGGTGCTTATCCTCTCCGGAAAAGCATATTTGTGACAGATAATATCTCAGGAAATGCCATGGGGGGGGTCTTCCATATATATATTTTTTGTGTGCGACTGTGTATCTGCACATAATTGTTTTTCCATACTAATTTTGTGTGCTTTTGCTTTTTCTGCCCTTCTAGAATCAGAAGAGCAAGGACAGCAATCCGGCCGTCTTGCCCATGAAAGAGGACAACTTCTCAGGTAAGAGCGAGCGTCGGTCTGTCTGCTCGCCATAGCATGGAAGAATTCACAGTTTTGTGAGCTGTGTCAGTTTATTCCCCGTCACTCGATTTAAACAAAAATAAATCACTTCCATGATTTCAATTTTAAAAAAATCCATTAAACATTCTAATAGTCTCTCTATGGTGGTAATTTAGCATTATATTCATCTACATCCAAAATGCATCTCTGTGTATGCTGAATGTACAAATATACGCGCTTCTTTCTGGATCCTAATATTCGTCTTGCTTTGTGGCTTCTTGCTGGTAAAAGCATTTTAAGCGCTGCATTTTGTTTGGATTTCAGATAAGAACAAGGAACATATTTTTTTCATCACAGACTCAGAGCCTTCAGGAGGAGACTTCTGGAGAGATATAGCAGGTAGGCTCAGAAGGAGGCAGAGGATAAAGAGGCAGAGACTTAAATTCATAATCAAATGTCTGAATATTTAGTACAAGGGTAAAGATAAAAACAATTGCAAGCAAATATAACTGAGAAAAATGCAAATAGGTGGAAAGCAGTGACATTAATAGGAATAAGATTATTAATTGCTGGGCATATTTCAGCAGAAATTTCAGAAATATATCAGGTTACACAATGAAACAGGCTGGAAAAGCATAAAATGACAATAATTGAAATGTTCTCTTTGAAACCTTCCATTAAAAAGGATCACAGCTTAAGAGCAAGCAGGGAGAGAGTTGTATAAGGAGTGGAAATGAAGAAATGGGATCTTACAGAAATCTCATATAATAGCAGAGAACAATTGAAAGATCACAAACATTTCTAGATGTGTTCCCTTTTAGAGGATATTTCTTAGAAATTCTTAACTAGAGTAATTCCTACTGTAGGTGCAGTAGACGAAGAAAACAAAATCGATGTTTTAGGTTTGGTGACCATCTGATTGTGAGGGAGCAAAGTTGTGGACCAATGAATAACTCTAATTATCTCCTATACCTTCAAATAATTACCATGGATAATACAGCAGTGATGCTAGCAGAACTAAACCTTAAGAACCTTAAAGCAGGAGTACAGTACGCTGTGCATTGTCTGTATCTGACACAGTGGCCAATTTATTTTTTAAAATAGGTATTTTTTTGTCTTTTAGAAAATGAGTCTATCCATGCTCATATTAAAATCTAAATTATGATGGTATTTTGTTTTTTCCTCAGATATTATAGCTTGTATCTCTGTATAAAACTCCAAATGTGTTGTGTTCATTGATATTGCTAGTCCATGATAGCTCTGTGTTTATCTTCATAGTAGATTTAATCTAAATCTTATTTTTCAAAGATGTATGCCACCAGCTTGTATGCTTTTTTGAGCTTGTGGAGAATCTTAAAGATAAGTAAGCTGAGAGCAGCATCTGGGTGAAGGTCTCAGGACTGGAACTGAGGTGAATTGACTGTAAAGAACTGTAAAATGTTTAAGGACTTGTTTCTGCAAATTCCTTCTGGGTGCTTTCTAAGTGAGAGCAGTCCCCTTATTTTCAGTGAGCTTTATACCAATGTATTTTTGTAGGATTAGGCCTTCTTAATCTTGCACAGAATTAGACTGTTAAATCTACCAAGCTTTTTTTGCTTCATTGTCAAACCCTTTTGCAGAATATTCTAGCTGTCCATTTTGCTCAATATACTTGATACATTTATGAGTTATTTAACCCTGTGCCTTCCTGATACGGTTAAGACAGGTAAAACGATCCTGGAAATACTTCACAGTTTGGGATCAACTTATATTTATTAACTAGCAAAAGCAAACTTAAAATAAATGGCGTATTTTGTGTGTCAGAGATGATTATTTGCAAGTGTGTATGTTTGCTTGTTAGTCTCAGAGTGTCAGTTAAATTGAAGATTCATATTAACCTGAGATATTTCCAAGAATGCAGGAGATTAAATACAGGTTTGACGGTCCTGGAGCTGTTTGCACCACACAGCCAGGAAACTGTCAGTGAAAATTCCCTTTTCAGTCAAACAGTGTTCCAAAAGATCTCTAAATTACTCAAATTCCCATGGCAGTTTTGCAAGATATCTGTGACTAATTTAAATAACTGGTCCAGTTCTTTAGGCAAGCTGCAGTTTGCCATCCCGATCCTCCTTCAGCACCAGGAGCTGAAGGGTAGACAGCGACGAGTGCCTCGCACACAATGGCCCTGCATCGCGGCCTTGCGAATGCTGCCTGTTTTATAAAGAGAAGCTCAGCTCCGTGAGCTGTTCCCAAACCTGTCTAAATTTTCTTCTGTTTTAATGAGGAATGTGAACTCTGCAGTGGGTGTTAATAACAGCTGGAGGTCAATTTCTCCTTATCATTTCCCCATTTTTGGTTCTTGATTTGTAAAAATGGCATGGCAGTTATTTCAGGTAAATTCAGACTTTAAGCAGTGAGACAAATTCTTCTTTCATTTACTCTTATATATCTCCAGAATAACTATGCTAATGTTGGTGGATTTACAGCAGTTTATAGATGGTTGAAAACAGCCCAGCATTTATTTTATACAGCAAAATGGACTAGATGCGGTCTTTACTGTGGTAATTGCTTAAGGTTGCTGCATTGAATCCAGAATTTAACTGACATAAACTTTATTACAGAAATGTTTGAAGAAAAAAAAAAGCAATAGTTAAAAGTTCAGTTAGGGGAAGATAAAGCAAAATTTAGATAGAGCCCAATCCTGCATATTAGAGAAGAGGCTGTGTGCGAGTACATGGCTCGGCATGACAGACAAATCTGCAGACCAGTTGTAGGATCGAGTCTGTTTTTACACTTGCTGTCTCTTTCCTGCTATTACTAAAAAGCTCAGTCTCTTTGAATTATTAACAGAGGGTGGAATGGTTTCTTTATTATTATTTTTATTTTTAAATCTCTTATTTTTGGTATTTTCCTAAAACCCATCTTCTGGAATCTCTTGAGAATCTCACCTTACATTTAAAGGAAATCCAAACCAAAAATCTGCTAACTCTCACGCTTTTAGGATAATTTTATGAAGCACTTCTCAGGTGTATGCATAAGGTTAGACCAAAAGGCAACTGATTTATTGTCTCTCTAAAACATGTCATATTTTTTTAGTCAGTCGCCATTTTTGAGTGTTCAAGTTTAAAGTGAAACCCTCATGAAACCCTCTCTCCCTCTATTCTTTGTACGTTAACAATTTTTATTTTATTCGGGTGATTGTGCTAAAGTTTAAATGGAATTAATAAAATAGACTTGATCTGTGCAAAAAATAAAACTAGTTCGTTTTAAAGCTAAACTGCTTTCAGGGAGAATTAACATTTGGTAAGATTTTGCAAGGCATATATACATTGGCCCCAGTATAGAAAAGCACTTAGAAATATGCTTATTTAGCTTCTTAAAATAGGCATGTTTTCCTATGGCCTGATTGGCTCCTTTGCAAGATGCATGAATATTTTCAGTAAGTTTGTTGTTTTGCTAGGATTTCTGCAAGACATATACAAGAATTGTGCATGTATTAAATCGTATAAATAACTGTTAAGACAGTTAGAGCCTTTGGAGCTCTCAAAACCTGGTAGTTCGTATCTGCCTATATTTTTTAATGGATGAATATTTATATCTTCCGTACTTCCACCTCTGTGTCTGTACCCAGCATTCACTCCAGCAAAAAATATCAGTGGGCTTCGAATTTATGGTGGTCCTGGCAGACAGTCAATGCTACAGGCTTTGTAACTGTAAATCTCACCTCGTAGGAGGGAGCTTTGGAGCTGCCTGGGAAATAGGGGCACTTGACTGGAGTTGGTAAGATCGAGAAGTGCAAAAGTTGTGAGAAAAAGGATTAGGAGCTGGTGTGGGGACAAGGGACAGGATGAGGAGCCAGGAGAGCTGTCCTGCTGGTCCATCCTAGGTCTGCTTTGGGTGCGTTGTTCATCCTTCTGCCCATTCTTTGCCCATCAGCATTGCCTGGGCTGGCACAGGAATTTTTAACTGTTGTTAAACTATATACTTGTTTGGGGGAGAACAACTGTAGAAATGTTTCTTTTTTTTTTTCTTTTTTAATTAAAATTTCAAGCCTTTGCTACTCCAGTGGGTGTAAATGAAGCTAATAAAACAGTGGCATCACAAGAAGTGATGTCAATGTACAAATCACCACCTCATAATCGGATTGTTGATTAAGTAATTTGAAGTATGTTTACCCACAGATGTCACTTCTCATTTCCTCCGTGGGTGGATATTGATGTTTCAGAATAAGAGTGCCATTTATTTAGCCCCAAAATAAAACCCACATGCATTCAATCCAGAATATACATGTCATCACAGGCTGAGCTGTTTGAGAAGAACACAGATAACAAAAACATCATCTGAGCCCGTGCAATCTGGAACGGATTTCACAGCTTTCAGTGTATTAAATGCTGCTGAACAGGCACAAGTTTGTGTGTAGGCAAGGCCCAAGAGAGTTATGGTGGAGCTATTACAAGGGGAAGTGATTTTTTCCTACACTGATTAAAATTCTTTGGGCTTTCTGTTTGTTTGTTTTTAAACACCTATTTAGCTTTTAATTAACATTTAAGAGAAAGGAAACTGATTAAATATTCAATACCTCCTCCCTTTCAATTAAGGTATAAGAGTACACAGCACATGATGAGGCCTCTGGGAAGTATGGAAAAACTGAGAAGAGCAGACTCCTGATTATCATTTTTAGGGGGACTGGAAAGGTGAAACCTATCAGAGTATTATTATTACTATTAACGATAACAATGTCAAGACATTTTTGAGCATCAGAAAGCAGTTTAAAAATGGAGTCAAGCCTTTAAAGTCATATATACTTTTCTTTTTTTTTTGCCTTTAAATATCCTCACTCTTCCCATCCTGTTCATTCCTATTTCAGCAGCAAGGATGGGGGATTTTCTAATAAATCTTTCTGTAGGTTAGTAGGGATGCTGCAGATGCTGAAGAAGTTATTTTTTTGTGCTACATGCTCTTATTTCCCTCTTGATGCAGTTCTTTCGGTCCCAGTGAGTCGGCAGCTTCAAACCACACAGCCCTGAAAGCTCCACCAAGCAATTGGGAAAGGACTGTCCGTGTTGCCACACGCTGTATGTTAGGATCCAGTCCCTTCCCTGTTCTTTTCCTCCCCCTTGGAGAATTCAATTACCTTCTATCTGTGAGTCTGTTCTTCCTCAAAGTAGCTCATGAAACATTCAGGAGAAAAAGAAAAAGCTAAGTGAAAGAAACTGATTGGGTGAAAAATACTAGTGATTATAATTTAAAAAATACTCTTCCTATAACTTAAGTTTTTCTTTCAGATTTTTTTATTAGCAATCCTGTTCAAAATGGAATTGTTAACTAAAAAAAAAAAAAAACAACCTTATGCAAACACCTAAAGCTCTGCCCAATGGGTGATATATTTTTCTTTTGAGTTTTAAGCTTATTGTATTTTTTAATGTTGTGAAACAAATTACCTG